CACATAAAAAACAAACTTAAATTGCGTAATACACAATAACATATTTTCCATTGTAGTCATTTGCAGTTAATAGGAATGCAATTCTTCGTAAAACAAACAAAAATATTTCTCCATTATCTATTCAATAATTGCATGATTGTAAAATAAAACTAATAAATTCGTTTTGTAGACTTCAATTAGCTCGAAATACGAAAAGATTTGTTACAGTAACTAAGATAATATTAACGAAAATGGCTTTGCTCTATGAGCAGTTTAACAATTGTTTCTATAATTAATATCTTTGTTGCCCTTGCAAATCCGTTTAGTTTAATTTTGCTTAATTTTTGCTTAATTTTGCTTAATTTTGCTTAATTTTGCTTAATTTTGCTTAATTTTGCTTAATTTTTGACGTTTAATTTTGCTCAGTAAGCTATAAATTTGCAGAATGCAACGTGGCCATCTTATTCTAGTACCAAGTTAAGGCTAGCAGCTCTGTGTAAAAGGGTTACATATAAAATATGTATCTTGTTTAATATTATATTTCCAGGATTTCCGTGAGAAATCTCTCTTCTGGCGGTCCTTAATTATACTTAACTTACTGTTATTATTTTATTGTTATTATGTTATTAACATAATATGCTCAATTTCAACTATTTTGTGAATGAACATTGCTTCTATTGCCCAAAACAATGCATCATACACTTGCACTTTACTCTGACTAATTCCACATCACTTAAGTTTATTCATTCACGATAGAGAATATTATTAAGAAATCTTGGAATGCTTTCCCGAAAATGTAGTTGGCTGCGCCTGAATCAGTTTATTTTATTTTTGACTGTAATATTAATTCGATTTCAAATAAAACTCAGCGAAAAGATATCTATATTCTAAAAAGAACATTTTACGATTTCGTTTCCATTGTTCTTTTCGTGATAAATATATTAATAAAACAATTGACGAATATATCTCTTAAGATTTAGACTTAATCTCCTCTACTTACTCTATTGATTTACATTTTCTCTTTAAAGAACGACGAAGTAAATGACGATCTACAAAAATATCTATAATTTAAAGGCGATTATTAAAATTATATCAGACAAACACTATCACGTTATTCCTTTCATATTTCTGCATTTATAGGTTCTATGTAAATGTGTATGTGCTGTATTGTTGCACTATATTTAACAGAAAACTTAAACATATGTGCATATATAAAAATTTCCCCTGCAAACTTTTTGTGTATCTTTAAGCTTCTAAATTTAATTGTAAAGATACAATAATGTTCTTTAGAATTTTCATAAGGCAGCAAATACTTATTTATATATATAAACTATATATATAACATACCTATACATATATTATATATATAACAGAACTTTTGCATCAAGCAAAAATTTATACTAACAGCTTAAAACAGCAATTTTAAAATTTTGTATCCTTTAGATAATATATTGAGTGACATTTTACTTTATTTTTTTTTTATTTTTGAACATACTTGCGCTATGTAAAGACATTTGTAATTCTGTGCAGCCAATACGACGTGAACTTTGAAAAAGGATCAATATTTTGTCGGCAAAATATTCACAAGACATCCCCTTAATATTACATTATTTCATCGACGTGATAAAGAAATTCCGATATGAAATCTGTCATGTTCCAGCATTAGTAGTAGCAACTCTTTTTGCATTAATATAAGAAATCTTGCGATATCATATTTTATTGGAAAAAATTATGATTCTTCATTTTCGAGAAACGAGAATTATATAATTTTTCATCAGATGGAATTATGTGAACGTACATAGAAATACATCAATGTCATCATTATACGATGCTAGGAGTTAGTCACGCACATCTTGTCTTATCGTGTTGTGTAACTCATTTTTTATGAAGCATAAGTGACGAAGATAAACTGTGTCGAAAAATGGAAACCAGTAATATATTAAATGCGCGTCTTATGCCAAAATCATTTAAATGAGAAGGCAAATTTGAATTTTAATTTTCGAGACCTCAATACGTTTTACTCGTATACACGCAAGCCAAAGAACGCCACGAAAACTCCTTCTTTCCAAGAATTTCTTCGATATTTCAAATCTTATCTTCGCTTGTCATTGACGTATCGATATTTCCATTTGAATAGTCGTTCCATCGCTATGGCACAAAAACCGACTTATATTAGAAACAGCAAATACTCCCTCTCTTTACGGATCGTTCGCGCTAGGCATGCGCGCGCCCACGCGATAGGAAACGGAAATTAAATGAAAATCGTTCAAACCTGTCTATATAACGGAAATGAAAATCTGGAAAATCTGGCGTGAATGGAAGAAGCTGAGTAGCGCTGGGATGGACAGAAAAATGGCGCGAAAATAATCAAGAGAGAGAATAGTGAATGTTGACTATTAATATTTCAATATACCCACAAAGAAATAATTTCCTGATCGAAAATTATTCACTTGTGCAATTTAATTGATCGTGCAAACCATCCGCAGGACAGTGAATAATAACTGTTCTTCATGGTGCTGTTCTTTTATTCATGCGACAAATAAGAATTTTAATTACTCTCGTTATATTACATGTAAATCATTTGTAAATAATATTTTACCAGTACCCTCTCTCTCGCACACAATTAAAATATTATCGATGAAGCATAATGCAATTTTTATTTCAAATTTATTGTTAGCAATGCATATTTACGAATAACAGCTGGCGAAATTGATTACATTATCTTTCGTTAATAATCAAATAAATGATACGATGTTTCTAATTAAAAAAAGAATTGATAAGTGTGAATCTATGGGTGTGTTATATATGAAGCGTAAAATATATAGTTACATAAATTGTACATGACACTTACGGTTCCAGCTCCAGGGTCGGTAATTTTGCACGGCAGAATTGCCATGCTACCACTTTGAGCAAGCACCTCTCCAATTGGCCCTTCAAGAACATCTTCATTTTTACCCTCCGGGACATTCAATGGGCCGATTACATTATTGGCACTTGAGTTCTGCTGATGCTTAGCCTGGCTCACTGCGGACATAAATTACAACAATGCTTTCTGAGAGAACAGGAATCATTTTACTCGATTTAATACAACGTCTGTATACGACGTGCAAGTTATACGTCGTACATACGTCACACAAACAGACCCACAATAACAATCTTTCAATTGTTAATACAAAGTGAAAATGACATTAAAGACTCACTAAGAATTACATTAATTAGAACGCATGTCATAAAAATTAATTATTGTCTGAAGTCACGTGAAATATAACAGACTCGTATAAATATAAAATTCTTTATAAGATTCTTTCAAGAAACGCAAAAGAGAAGCGATTTTTTAGTACAATGGAGGGGACTACGCGACGTCATTTTCCCTTGCGAGTTTTACGCTGCACTCGTAATAGCTGTTCCACAGAAAGCTGTTGGTTCCAAGCCCAGCTATGATCAAGGATTAAGGATGATTTCCAGAGAGGTCGTCCGGTTGACGAAGGACGCAACGCAGGAGGGCTGCGAGAGATGACGCGAAGCACCCTCTCGCTCTGAGATTAATGCAGCCGCCATCGCGACGATAACGCATAACCTGAGCGTCGGCCCGAGAGTGGCTTAAGTGAATAACTTAGTCACGGCAATTACGATGGTTCGGCCGGGCGTTTACCGGGGCCCAAGGTGCGCCAAACCCAGCGAATTCCCGCGGATATTCAGCAGAGAACTCTCCCTCGCGCGCGGCACACACCATTCACCTCTCCTGTCCTGAGAGAAGTCCGATCGTTCGCTCGCATCACGGACTTTCTCTCGAGGAAAAGTCTCCTCTCCGCAAGCATCTCGCGCGATCACCAAGCTGGCGAATTTGCGGAAAGTTGTCGTTTCTATTCGACAGCCGGCTACGAAACTTGACGTCTGGTAGCAACGATGCGCGAAGTTCGCTTATAAAATGCAGCGCAACGTGAATGTGCCCGACTCCTTCCTCGATAACAGGGACTCGACTCGAACTTTCAGTTGGGCTTTCACAGTTGGATCTTTACGAATTTCAAAGATAACCATTCATTGATAACACATTGAGACAGCCGAGCTCTATTTCTGCGCAAAATTGTTATTCACATTTAATCGTTTCTCCGCTCGGATTACCATTTTCGCAAGACTTACATAAATCGATAATGTAATGCGCGACAAATGACAGAGCTCCCGCGGGCGCTCGTACACGACGCAAGTTAAAAAGACTCGAACGTAACACGGAATCCTCGTGCATGCGCGTGTTCCGCATTTAGAGTTGATAACACGAGGGGACAGTCGATGTTGGTTAGCGTACCATGCGTCCCACTTGAATTTCCTCGTCGATGTAAATTAATGACGTTGCCGCCGTCGACACACGGTATTCCAAAGTGATTATTCGCCGGAAATTCTCGCGGGAAAAATACACGAATTCTCCATGGTCGGGATTAATAAAAACGAGAGAGAGGGGGAGAAAGAGAAAGAGAGAGAGAGAGAAGAGAGAGGCGGTAAAACGAAAGACACTCTGAGGGATTATTAATGCGGATGTATTGCTACTTTGTAAAAATTACGGAGATTTTTGTATCACATTACACACACATATACACATGACAAAGAAATATTTTCTAATGCAATCTGTCTCGTGCTGAGTCCTCGATTTTCCTCGTCTCTTTTAATCACTTGGTCTTCGATTGCAAGTACTCGAAATTTCTATTTTGTCCTCGAATAAAATACTTTTATTTTAGTCTATTGTCGACTTAGGGAGACAGAGTTTTTCTTATCCAGTACAGAGTTATTTTAGGACGAAATAGAAATTTCGAATACTTGCAATCGAAGAGCAAGTGATTAAACGAGACGAGAAAAATCGAAAACTCAGCATGAGACAGATCGCAATAGAAATACAAAATATTTCTTCGTCAACTGTGTGGAAGATTATGAACGTAGCTCTTTTGTATTCTCACCACATACAGCGAGTATAAGTTTTTTTGCCAGTAAATTACGCGAGTAATATTTGCTCAGTGGTACTTGGGACAGTGTACTTTTTCCAATTTCGATACTTTTCACAGACAAAGCACAATTTTCACAGAATACTATAATAAATTATACTATAATAAATTATCATAATAATGATCAATGGTCGTGTGAAAATCCGCATAATATTATTGAATTCTAGCATCAACAAAAATTTTTTCGTGCAATGTGGGCTAGTATTATTGGAGATTTCCTTGCTGAACCGCTGTTCTTTCATCTATACTTAATGATAATAATTATAGACAATTTTTGGAAATACAACTACTTACATTATTAGAAGATATTCTACTACAAAATACGTAATCAAATATGGTTCATGCGAAATGAAGTTGCAGCACACTTTAATTGTATTGCTCGAAAGTTTCTGTATAATAAGTACACTAATAGATGAATTAGCAGAGAAAGACTTATTGCTTGGCCTCCACGATCTCCCGATTTAAACTTTGATTTTTATTTATACAGACATCTTAAGACTTTTTATGATAATTCTATTACTACTGTGGAAATACTCCGAAATCGTATCATCGTTTGACAAAATACGAAATACTTCGGGAATTTTTGGATGTCTGCAACAATCTATGAGACGTCGATACGAAGCACATATTGATGCTTAAGTAAATCATTTCCAACAATTTCTTTAATGAAATGGACCAAAGTCTGTTGTAAATAAAAAATGTTTATAACTTGGAAAAGAAGTGTGTATGTGTGTATGTGTTTCCGGACCTTTATTTATATAAAATCTTTTGTCCTTACAGTAAGTAGAACGTGCAACAGAAAAGTCACCACAAAAGCGATTAAAAGTCTCCTAAATACTTCACATATACAAGGTGTCCCAGACCACCATGATCACACTTTGCGAGAACATAGAGATTGAGGTGAGCAAGAAAGTTCCGTATCGTTTTGCGATATTCGAAATAGTTTTTGAGAAATTAATTATTTTGTCTAAACTAATGAGCGCACGGGAAGCGGCAGCCAAAAGAAAAATGTCTTTGGCCGGCGCGCGACTGTGACACTCGCGCGCCGGCCGAAGACATTTTTCTTTTGGTTGCCGCTTCCCGTACGCTCATTAGCTTAGACAAAATAATTAATTTCTCGAAAACTATTGCGAATATCGCAAAACGGCATGGGATTTTCTTGCTCATCTCGATCCATTCTATGTTCTCGTAAAGGGACATCCTGTATATCGATGAAAGTGCCTCCAGTCTATAGCGAATTCGAATTTGTCGCTACCTATTGTTTTCTGATAGACAAGGCTGATGAAAACAGAAATGTACACAACACTGATGTACACATTAGTATTCACATAAATGACATTTATTTCCAATTTAACATTATATTTATATTCTATTTTATGTCTTTCATTTAAGTAATATATTTCATAAAAATTTGCTTTTGACATATTTATTGTAATGCAACTTTAAATTGCCTGATTAAAGTCTCATCAAATTTCAAGCTAAAGCCATAACGTGATTTATATGGTCGACTTGAAGATATAATTGCTGACACCACCTGTACATCATAATTTTATCCAAATAGATCTAAATAGATTTTGTCCAAGAAATAACGAAGAAATAACGCGTCGCAATTAAACTGAAATCTATTTATGAGAAAATATTGCGTGTTTTCTTTTCGTAATATTATTTGTGTGAATATAAATATTAATTAATAACGTAACGAAGAGAAAAGACTGGCGCAACCAAAATAATTAAAATGCAAACTCTGCCACGCTAAAAAGTATTCAATTTCCTAGTATATTCAATCGACATTACTACAATGGAATACAATTCGGCGCACATTAATCGGAAACCAGGTTTTACTATTAAATAAGATATCAGTTTCAATGTGAAATATCTGCGATCACGTATACGCATGATTACAAAAATATTCTGTTACAATTACGAAAAGTCCCGAATAGAACTCCAACAGCCGCAACGGTATTCTCTCGAAATTTACGCGTGATATAAACGCGATGACACACACATGTTTAATCACGTCACATGTTTTTCTCTTTGGCATATACGTCTTTCCCTTACACAGGCGAGATAAAGCCTCTCGGAAGCCAGTGCAATTTTCTAAATTGAATTTATCAGTGATTAGTACTCGCACGTAGTGGAAGATTAATCTGGCACAATTTCAGAAAGTTTGTCGAATCGGGAATCGTAAAACGGCCCGGTAATAGGGGCCGGTGTGCATTTAATTAAACTTTCAATTAGATCTAAAGCTTCGTAGGTGTTACGGCGGCGACCTAAATTTTCAGCACCACATCGCGCGACGTTCTCGGCGAATTTGTTCGTTGGAATATCCGCGACGCCGGATTCACGGTGTGTCTCACGAGAAGAAAATCACCGGCTCATAAGAACAGCGGCGAGCCGGACGATCGACACGTAGATCGCAACGCCTCACCGTCGAAAAGTTCGACGCTAACGAGGCGAAAGTTCGCCGCGGTTTTCAGCAACACGATAACCGGAAATTACTTGTCAGCTGCCAGCTGACGCGTGGAATTAAGTGTTTTCTATGCCGGCACGAAAATGACTCGTCTGAACGCAAGTACGGAAGAACGTGGCGTGCCGTTGGTACGCGCGCCGAAACCCGCTTGTGTGTTTCTTCGTGGGTGCGTCATTACCGTTGGAAATTGTATGCCGCCGTGGAGCGAATGCCGACGAGGAGCACGGCGGAAGGAAATTAGGGACAAAATTATTTAGGCCGAGAGAGTCGCTACTTAAACACGTGATTTACGAAAGGAGTGTGCACAGGAAATACGAATGAGGCTGCCGTTTCCTGCCACAATTTCGAGCCGTATGATTTTAAGAGCGCTACCGAATGTCACACTATTTTGCAACGTGACGAATTTCAATTGTAAAGTCTGAACGAACAGAAGGCACTGAAGTGAAACAGCACAGCGTGCATTGTTATAGCACAACTGCAAAACTCGATTTGCGAACGTAATTTATTTACGGGAAACAAAACATGTCTTTGATACAGCATTTAAATGTAAAAAAGAGAAAAAAGAAGAAACGTGAGCTATATTTATTGAGGTCAATGTAATAATGTAATGTGTGTGTAATAGAGTGCTTAAATGAGGTTAATGTTAAAGGAAAGAATATTATCGTAGGCATGAGATAAAAATTCTTGTAATGAGGTCATATTGTGATAGACCTGAACGATATAATAGCAAACGAAAAAGAGGAACAACGTGGAAAGACCTCGGGCTTGCATTAAAATTGACTAAGGACAGGAGAGCAGGACATCCAAGATCCCCATTAATCAAGTTGTAGAGAAAAACAGCATCAGTTACTTGTCTACGCGCAGTAAGTAGGAACAAATTAAATTTAGCCATGTTATATAGATAATCGACTACATCTATCTATATTGATGACTCAGTTTAAAAATTGGCAAGTCAAAGGATTCTGTGCTGTATCCTCTCAATCCGAATAATATAAATATTATGTAGTAACCATATAACACTTGCGTATTCGAGGTGAGAACAAATTAGGAAAATCGACAGTAATCTGAGTGTAGTGGAACTTTTGAAGTCACTACAGAAACGTTTGATAAAACCGAGCAATGCTTTATTCACAGCATTATTTATGTGAGAAGTATATGAAAGAGGAAAGGGTCGACAGTCACGCCCAAATCACGCATCTCCTTGACATTAACCAGAAATGCACCGTCAATTGAATAAGTATAATCTATCCAGTTGCGAATACGAAGAAATCGTATTCATATGTTATCATATAACATTCATCGTATGAATGTTATATGATAACAAGAAATGTTATATGATACAAGAAATCGTATTCAATGTTATCATATAACATTTAGAGATATTAAGTCGTAAACAATTATCCACACACATCCTCGCTACACACATAGCGAGTGTATTTAGATCAGATTAAAGATAAAGACAGTTCCGTATTAACCTTATCCTTGAGAATATCTTTAGGTCATCTGCAAATAAAGCTTTTCTATTTATATGTGTTAATCAGCTCATTAATAAATATTATAAATAATGAGATACCCAAATGTGATTCTTGAAGTCATTTTACTGCAGAAGTAATTACAAATCTCTCCAATAAACAATTATAAACGCGGGCTTTTGGGCTTTTTAATAAGCAGGAAGATAAGACGGCATAATATCGCAAAAGTAAAGTACTTTAAATTTATGTAGCAAAATTTTGTAATCTACACTATTAAATGGAGAAGAAATGAAGCTTTAGAAAAATTAGTATAGATAATTATTATACTTGGTTAATAACCGTTGATTTGCCAATTACAAACCTATACTGCCAGTCATAAATTGTACTTTTGATACAAAAGTTTAATTTTCAACTGTTATTATTTTTTTTTAATAATTTAGGTATTATGTTCAAAATAGAAATAAGCTCGTAGTTTTTGCATCCTTTTTCACTGACTTAAAAATCGATATAATCATACTCAACTTCTACCACGACGTAATTAACGAAATAATGAATGAGATAAAATAAATGTCCTAATTAGTAAGCATGTCCCAATTAGCGACAGCTACTTTTTTATTAATAAATCAGTTATTACAGATCCATATTTATTTTAAAAATGTGTTTTTACTTTAATACATATTATTATTTTATTATTATTATTTTATACATATTATATTATTCTATACATATTATCAGTTATAATAAGTTTTGAATAAAACTAAAAGTCATAGTAAGTGTTGGAACATCATAATTTTACAAACTACTGATAGCGACAGTTTGAACAGTTACTTGCTGACATCCTAGAAGTTGACAGTTAATATCATATATTTATTTGCTACATCTGTGCAGTTATTCTTAAACTTCAAATGATTGAAGTGGTTATATCAAAGTTAAGAGAAAGTTTGAGAATATTTTATAAACAAGAAAAATAATATGCAATTTTCGTAGTTAATTCATGTATGTCACTAATCGCGTATGAAGATATTTGTTGGTCTTTATTACTGACCAACTGGAATAAATATAACATAAAATAATATAAATATTTTTATTTATAGAAGGAACATGGGGTTTGTAAATCTTATTTATTATAAAATGAGGAAATAACATTAATTGCATAGGGACATTAATTGCATAACATGTCTCCCTAGAATTGATTAAATAATACAAATATGAATTACATTAACTTGTAAATTATTATGTCTAAATCAGTAATAAATTAATAATACATTCATGATTCTATATTCATTTGTGTTATTCGAATAATTATTTATTATTTCCTGCCGCTAATTCAGACACTCACATTATGTCATAAACTGAGACAAAATAAAACTATCATATTACAGTTACATGTGTCGTGTAAATAAAGTATAATCTTACCATAAACATTAAAAAAATATAACATAATTAGAACATCAAATATTCAAACTTTCCAACAAAATTAGTTTTGTTATGTACTTAACTTAACACGTATATTATTAATTAATTTTTTACACGAATTTTTTTCACGATAAGATTACTTGGTTATTAATTAGGACATTTGCTTTAACGAAATTTTATACGCTATGAAAATAATTGCATTTTAACAAAACCTCAAAAAGTAACGACTCAATCTTACCTGTGAAGTACAAGTGTATCTCCAGTAAAATGCCCACCAGAAACCAGAGTATCCTCATGATGATCGCAAAATACTCGCGTCCTACTCTTAGACGCGCATCTTTTTCGAAATACCTGAAATAAAAAAAAAATTTAACGTTTACTTCTAAAGTTTTAATTAACTGCCTCTGAACGTGAGCCAAGCGCACAGTCCGTATTAATTTTTTTTTTATTTTTTAAATTTTTATTCCTATTACTTTTTACAAAATATTACAATAATACAATCACAAGCTTCGACTTGTAATAAATGCATTGCAAAATAATATATTGAAACAATTTTCTCCTTCGAAATATTCGTTTACCTCTGCAGCGTTTTGTCATTTTGAACAATTCTCGAGACTCAACAGTTCTCAACAAGACTTAATAATTTGTTTGAAAAGTAAGTGCTTCGGTTAAAAATGGTAATAGTCGACAGACGAATGCTCGTCGCACATTACGTGCACGCAGTGGTACGCGATACAAGAAGTTGATTAATTTCATAACGACCAGCGGTCCATACTCTTTGCTTATTCATCATACGTAGCCGCCAACCTCGAGAGCCAACGTTGCGATAAAAAACTGTGCCAACAAACTTGAAAGAATTTAATTTTAGTAGGGCGCCGCGCCAAAGGCGAATTTCAACTCCATTTTACACGCGAGAAAAACTAATAACATTCTCACTTGAGTAATACGTGATAAATATGGAAATTCAACGATATTAAATTTCTTTCAATAAATAAAATACGAACGATGCTTCCGACCGTCGAAATTATGCTGAATGATCGATCAATCTTCTTTTCTTCTTTTCCATCAAATTATTTTTCATCGGAATATTATTTCTTCCCGGTAACAACCGGAGAGAACTTTATAGTAAAAATTACTATAATATCTTATAATCGAGGAATAGAGCGACATTCTGCAGTAATTCAATATTTCTCATTTCATACGTGCAACTTATATTTTAGGTACTGAAATATGCTATTAAAATATTTGCTATATTTCTTGCAAAATTTACTATGTTCTTTAGTAAGATAAACCTTACTGGCAGTCTATGTTCCTGAACTATTAAACATATAGTAAAGGTGAAAAGAATTGATATAGAAAAGAACTATAATATTCTCTCCGTGTAGCGATTCAATTATTTTCTCTTCCCTATTTTGGGGTTTCTCATTATCTCGACACACTCGGCACATTCATCTTCGATCTACAAGACCATATGCGTCCGTGAAAAAAGAAAATTAAGGCTGAAACGGAAGGTAGGAGAGTGCCGGAGCGTGTTCCAAAACTACGCACAATGTGCCCCTAACGTGGTATTAACTAGTTTCGTCACATAAAAAGACCTAGCTTTTTCTGCGTACTACGTGCCGGTTTTTCTTAACGCTTCCTGGCGCACGAAGCGTTTTTGTTGAATCACATGAGATCGATAGGGACGTAGATACCTTTGCCCGGGCTCTTGTCCATTTCTGAGCCTTTACCCGGCACGATTCTCCTAATAATATTTCATATGTTGTATTGTGCGATATCTACATAAATAACACGTAGATGTTAAAGAATAAAATACGCTGATGTAATTTGTACAAAAATATAACTTAAGAAACAGTAATTTTAAAAGTTGTACATCCAAAATATATAATCTCGTCCTTAGCGGAATCCTTTTATGTTATGACCTCAGGAAGATTCTTCTAAAACCAAAAGGAAAATATTCTAACATCCAAGTTTTAAACCTATATCCTGCAATCTTATATTCTTAACAAAAACTTTTGTCGACAGAGTATTTCTCTTTTAATGAAAAGGAACAATATTGTGCTTAGAATATTTTCCTCTTGATGGAAGAATTCTCTTGAGACCATATATGAAGTGTGCGTGTGTGCGCGCATGTGTGTGTTTACTGTACAATATCCACTATATTTTTATGGATTCAATGATCGGACAGAAGAAAGTTCTACATACAATTAGTCAGTTTTTGAACGGTAATAAAATGCAATAATAAAAATTTTGAAAACGTTTTTTTTTCATAGAAAACTCAAGATCACTTTCACTCTTTTAAATAGAACCATACATATTTTTATGCGTAGTGTTGTACAGAGAATTAAAACGAATTTAATAGTAACTCATAGTGTTACTTTTATTGTTATTTTACAGCAAAACAAGTACAGTAAGATAATAGTGCAGAATTTTAACAATGTACAACACAAACATGCAGAAACATAAATCGAAAGTCCCAGTTGATGCGATACGTAAACTCCATCAAAAAGCGCGGAGCTTTGTGTTGTAGAGAGTGGATTATATTTCGAATATATCCTGAACATTTAATATTATTTATTATATTATATTTCAAACATTGTCGTATCTCCTGTTTGTATTTTCACTGTTAATGGTTATCAAGCGACACGAGAGTATCGCGAAGCCAAGTGCAAGCGCGAAGCAACTCGCGGCCGACCGTATATACTTATTCGACGACCTCAGTTGAACAAGATTTCGCGTTCGACTATAACGGCTGAACGGACGAGGTTCTGGATGGGTTTAATCAATTCTTTGGATTTACATTATTTTATAAAACTATTTTTACTTTTTCTCTACCTGCTTTAGAAGATGAGATATCTTAGCTCAAAGTCAGAAATCGTGAATTTACACGTAAGAAACGTCGTCTCCATACAGAAAATGTCAGTAGACTATGTTTCTCCGTTAGATGGCAAGACAGCGGGATTGTCATCGTCTCCATACAGAAAGTGTCAGCTAACAATGTTTCTCTGTTAGATGACGTGACAGCGGGAGTGTCCCGATTAACACATATCAAGTGACACGGAAATATCGCGAAGTCAAGTGCTAGCGCAAAACAACTCGCGGCCGATCGTGTTATAATAACTCGCTAAGACTGTCCTTATTTAATAATGTCAGAAGCAAGAAATCGTATTCCAATTTTATACATAACGAATCGTAATCCAGAAGAATCGTATTCCAATTTTATATATAACGATATACATAAAGATAAAAAATATATGCACAAAAAGACACTCGTGATTAATTAAGCTCACTTGTAAAAATGTTTGAACGCTTTCCTTCAACACGAACAATCAATAAACAACCGTAAAATCAACATAGCAAAATTTATATTTGTTGTTTGCGTTAAAAGAAAACATCCGGACATTTTTACAAGTGTGCTGAATTGTAAAAAATATTATAAAAAAAAGTTATGGTAAAATTCTTAAAAAAAGAAATGATATCAAACAGTTTACGCCAAATGAAATTAATTTCATACATAATAAATATTGTTATAACTATTTTGTATATATGAACACTACATTAGGATTCTACTGACTTATTTAGTAAACATACAAAAATAAAAATTTTGGGAAAAGTTAAATGAAATTTCACACGCACACAAAAATCACTTAGCATGCCAGAGTAAAATTTTACACACGAACATAAAACATTTGCCTATCCTTTTAATGCTACTCATACAACATACTTCAAAGATTTTCGTATATATATTACCATTACCGACTCGTAATTTATTAAATTAAATAGGCTGTATAAACGTCGAAATATAAATAATAAATAAATAATTATAAATAAAATATATAAAATAATAATAATATATAAAATAATAATAATATATAAAATAATAAATAAATATATAATAAATAATAAGAAAGAGAGAGAGAGAGAGAGAGAGAGAGAGAGAGAGAGAGAGAGAGACAGAGACAGAAACACATTTTTTATAAAAATGAATTATTCTGAAATAAAATTTAAAGAACCTGCTTTTTATGTACACCTAAATATTTACAATGTCCAATTTCAACATATAAAATTATTAACAAAAAAACTCTTTTTAATGATTAATATTATTTTGTAAAAAAAAGATATGATATAAAAAAACAAAATTACTTTTTTAAAAAAAGTATAAAAAAGAAGCCAAATGCATGTGCGTTAGCATTGTCTTTACAAAAAAAATCGTTATAAATAAATTACAACAAAAGCTCAGCTAAAAGATATTTAAAAAAATATCATTAAAATAACCTTATTCAGATCAATTATATTCTCGCAAATGCTCTATTAAAAAATACAATACAATTTTATACTCTCTACAAAAGTAATGATATCATAAGGTTTGTGCCGAGTACGAATGATTAATCATTTCAGTTTTTACTTTTATAAACATATGTGGTTTTGATGTGGATATAATATATTTATAAATTAAATATATTATTAATATATTAGTAACATATTATTAAATAAAAAATAAAATTATTAGAGAAATACAATAAAAAAAATTATAATAACTTACACAAAAAATACTTGGCGTGCCTTTTTTTATAAGCAAACGGTTCTCTTATTTCGATGTAATATTAAAAAAAGGCACACCAAGTGCTTTTTTAAGTGTAAGTTATTAATTTTTTTTAACATTATTATATTTCTTTAAAAATGGGATTATAAATTTTTGGATATAAAATTCTAGAATTCGATAATGCATTCCTAGAACAGAAATATAACGTGCATAGAAATATACCAATAAGAAATAAATCAAATTTACATAACCGAGTTAGCATCTAAAAATTTATAAGGCAAAAGCTGTGCAATTCTCATGATTGTTCTCGTCATAAATATATCTTCATCAAAGTTTTTTGTTTTAACAGTCATACAAAATATTTATAAATTTATAGACCATTGTTAATGTCCAAAAGTTTCAGCGCGCCAAATAAAAATGGAAAAATTAGTAGAAAAATTAGTAGAACTTGCACGACGGGAAGAATATTTGACGGAGAAAAAAATAACTGCCGAACGTAAGAGTATCGAAAGAACGCGGTGGATTTCCGTTGGGAACCGACGACAAAATAGATATGAAAATGGGAGAGCTCTTCAAGATGGAGATTTGCGATCGCGCAGAGATGGAGATATGCTGATAAGCTTCGCTGGGAAAAACATCGAAGGTAATGGCTCCTCGAGACAAGACAATGGTTGAACGAGCATGATAATATTTCGCCGAGATATACAGGATGTCCCAGAACAACCTCCGAAGCTCTCGTAGAGGCATAGTACAAATTGGGGTGAACATAAAAGTCTCATCCTGTTTTGTGATTATTCGCCATAATCAT